GACGACACTGACGCAGCGGCTCTGCTGAAGGCCATGGACACGATGAAGGAGAAGCTCTCGCAGGACCATCAGTTGAGCTCAGCGCTGACTCGCGACCTCCCCATGGTGCGCAGGATGATCAAAGACGAGTTGGTCTTCGCGAAGACCCTGGAGTCGGTGGAGAGCCTCGAGCCGCTCATCGAGACGATCTCGCAGCACGTTCGGAGCCTCCTGCAGGTGCACGAGATCAAGAACAAGAAGATCTCATCCTGATGTGGTCTTCAGATGCCGAGGCATCGGGGTTTGCAGAGCGTCCATACTGTATAAGTATGCGTTTAGTTCTGCCTCGAACGACGGGGTGAACAGGTGGCCTTTTTTGCATGGCCCGCCAGTGGAGTCTGAAGACTCCATGCGTGACGTTGGGCCCCAGGAGGATCAGTGTATTCACATGCCTCTTCCTCATCCTCGTCCCTCCTCCTCCTCGCCTCCCGACCCTCCTCGTCCCTCGTCCTCCTCCCGCTCACTCCCACCCCATCCCATCCCACTCCTCCCGCTCGTCCTCCTCCCGCTCACTCCCACTCTCACTCCTCCTCCCGCTCACTCCCACCTCACTCGTGCTCGGGTGCCGACTTTGAAGCCCGCGGAGGCCAGAGAGCGGCGAACACCGCCTGACGGGACGGAATCGGGGCCGAACGGCCCCGTGATCGACCGAATCGACCGATGATCTACCGATGATTTTCCGATGATCCGGCAACCGATGATCACCGATGATCGTCGCTCAAACCATGATTTTTCACAGGGTTTCGCGACCGATGATCTACCGATGATCCCCAGTGAACCGATGATCAACCGATGATCTACCGATGATCCACCGGTCTTCGTCGATTTTCTGCGTTGGGATCACCATTTGCTTGAGAGTGGGCTGCAATCCCTGGCGAGATGGGCCCAACGGCACGGATTTCTAGCGCTGTAGCTACTGTGGAGCCTCGAGCTGATGAATTCGAGTGCTCAGCTCTGTGCGCCTCTCTGGTTTTCAATCTTACCTCCGAAATCTGATCCCTGGTTGCACGGAGGGGGCCCTGGTCCGACCTGAGCCCCAGGGGGCTCGTAGACTTCGACGGTCGGGCCCCACGGGGGGGCCCTCGTCCGCCGAATCCGACCCATCGGATAATCCCCATACTTCATCCTTCTCCCCCGACCTCTCTGCAGAGACGGCGCTGTCTAGCGCCGCCCACTGTGCCATTCGTGGTGGTTCGCGGTGGCATCGGATAGCTCGAGTGCTCATTCCTGTCAGATAACCGACGGTGATGACAGCAATCGGACAGTGGCACACACACACAAGTTGCGGATGAAAGCGAGGGGCTCGGGTCCTGGTTCGTTGTTAAGAAACATATTTCTAACATCAGCGACATATTTCTACATATTTCGTAAGACCGTTCGGCAACATAGTTCTAACATCAGCGAACGATCGTCGTGCTTCCCTCTGGCCCACGGTCGTGCTTCCCTCCGGCCCTCGCCCCGCCCGCACCGTCCGCCACACGGCCGACGGAGAAGATCGACTTCAAGGCAGCCCGTGCGCGCGGCGCCGCCCGTGCGCGCGTGCCCTGGCACCCCCTCCTCCTCCTCCTCCTCCTCCTCCTCCTCCTCCTCCTCCTCCTCCTCCGCCTCCTTCACCTCCTCCTCCTGCTCCTCCTCCTCCTCCTCCTCCTCCTCCTCCTGCTCCTCCTCGGGGAGAAGAGGGGAACGGGGAGCAGTTCAGATGAGGTCAGCAGGGAAGTCAGAGGAGGAGTAGGAGTTCAGAGGGGAAAGCGAGAGGAGGAAGTCAGAAGAGGAGGATGTGAGGAAATGAGAGGAAGTCCGAAGTGGAATATGTCAGAGGAGGAGGAGTAGGAGGTCAGAGGAGGAGTAGGAAGCCAGAGGCGGGGACAACACATAAGCAAGTGAAGGAGAGCGGGGGGGAACGGCCAGGACGACGACTAACATCGTATAACGAATACATAGAGGAAAACGAGGAGGAGTATGAGGAGTATGAGGATGCGCACTGCGATCCAATCGTACCAATCATCTATGGCTCAATTGTTCTAACCTAAGCTGCGCGCTTGTTTGGAGCGGCCCCACACCACATGAGCTCGCCGCCATGTCTCTTGATAGGAGCAGGAGCTCTCGAGAGATTCAAAGGCGCTTCGCTCCTTCCACGCCCGAGCAGAGAGAGGCAGGTGCCAATCTTCTCAGACTACTTTTGAAACTTTACGGTTCTTGCAAACTCAACGCGATTGAGTTCACGACCGCCTGCTTCTTTGCAGAGAAGGCGGGGGTACCAGGAGGAGCGTTTTCAAGATATTCAGTCGAGCCTGGCAAACAGACGGGCAAGTACCAACACCACGTGGATCAGGTGCTCCCGCCGCCCAAGAATCTATACACCGTGCCGACCCCAATGAACTACAACAGGCGCCCGCAGAGGACGATCAAGGATGTGCCGATATCACTTGTTTACGAGAGTTTGTTAGAAGAGCTGACGAGCGATAATAAGACGTTTGAGCTGCTGGATGCAGGTCCAGGTCAAGCCACTGAGTCGGTGCTGGATCTACCTGTATATCAGAACCACCGCGGAGTCATTCAGGCCCGTAGGAACAAAGAGCGGCTTCCTGTTCCATTGGGTTTCTACTTGGACGGCGTGAACTATCGCGCCCAGGCGGCGGGACGAATGGACAGTACATTGGGCATGTGGCTCATTAACCTCCTCACTGGGAGCCGCCATTTAATATCAGTGACACGCGCTTCGGACCATTGTTTGTGCGGGTGCAGGGGCTGGTGCAGTCTGCACCCTCACCTCCAAGCAGTGCGTTGGCAACTCGACGCGATCGCGTCTGGACGACGGCCATCCGTGCGACATGATGGAGCAGCGATGGGCGTTGAACCGACCGACTTACCATTCAAAGGAGTTCTCATTTGGATCAAGGGCGATTGGGGTGAGCATGCGAAGTCCTTGGGCTTAACAGCCTGTACCAGCGTCCACTCGCCTTGTCAATTTTGCAAATGTAATAGGGACGAGGTGCACCTAGTATATTCGGGGCTGAAAAATCATGACGGCATCGAGTGGCCCCTCCGCTCCCACACTGATTATGAGGCGGCTTGCAAGATGTGCGAGGTGCACGTGCGGTTGACATCACTTTCTAGCAGGAAGGCCCTTGTACGAGCGTTGAAGTGGCGCAAGGGTGGGGTCGGCGTGGGTGGGCGAGTCGTGGACTACGATCTAGAGGTAGCTGGAGTCCACCTCCAGGCGGGGGACCGTCTTGAGCCGTCCAAGGAAGTTCTGGATGTGGCTGCACTCGAGCGTCTTCCTTTGCCGCGGAACGTTGTTTTCTGGAGAGCTAGGCGAGACCACAAGCAGAGGCTTCTCGACTCGGTGACGCATCGCTGCGTCCTCTTCGACGACGGCTTGGACACGTCGCCTCACAAGAGCTTAGCGGTGGACGCCCTGCACTGCCTCTACTTCGGGCCCGTCATGAGGTTCGTGAGTTCGTCCCTCTGGAGGCTCATCTTGAAAAACGTGTGGCGCTTCACTGGCACTCTCGAGCAGGTGATCGAGCTTGGGTCCAGGCAGCTTGGGGCAGAGCTGCAGCAGTGGCAGGAGGCGCAGAATATCCCTCACTCAGCTCGCCTGGCCACCCTGTCGGCGAAGATGCTGGGGAAGCGCCGCGGGGCGACTCTCCAGGACCTTTTCTTTGTTTTTCTGGATACATAAAAGGATGAGGGGAAGGAGGATCAGGAGGACAAGTATAGATATTACATCTTGGACGACAAACGAAACATGGGGGGCCCTTGGGGAGCGGTGGAAACGAGCAGAAGAACAAAAAGCGGACCCAAACGAGAGGGGAGGGAGGATGAGGATCCTGAAAAGGAGGGGAGGAGCAGGAGGAGGAGGAGGAGGAGGAGGAGGAGGAGGAGGGGGAGGAGGGGGAGGAGGAGGGGAAGGATGAGGGCGGGAGGAGGGGGAGGGAGGAGGGTGGGAGGAGGGAGGAGGGAGGCAGGAGTTTCGAACCACAAATGTCGGATAATCGCCCGATCATCGCGATGATCGGAACGACGATCCTCGTCCAGTCAATGATCGGCGCTACGGTCATCGCCCGATCATCGCCCGATCATCGCGATGATTGTGCGATGATCGGGCGATGATTGTGCCCAGTGATGGCCCTTTCAGGCTCATTTCGAGCCGGTGAGCACCCCTCGGGCTGTGTCGGGATGATCGTGCGATGATCGGGCGATGATTGGGCCCAGTGATGGCCCTTTCAGGCTCATTTCGAGCCGGTGAGCACCCCTCGGGCTGTGTCGGGCCGGTGAAAAACACGTCTTCAGCATCCGAACCATCCTGGTTGCGCAATGTCGCTCAAGGCTGCAGAGTGCGGCCTCGTCCTTCCGTTTTGCATCGACATGTTACGTAAGCACGGTGGTGCAGCTGTCTTCGGGAAAGGCCTTCTGCAGGCGGGTGTGTCTCTTTCGCAAATATTGAATATAATTCGTCATGTTCGGTGCAAGTTTACTGGTGTTGGAAAAGATATGCTTTTGGACGCGGCGCACACCCATCTCCTGGCTTGCGCGGAAGCAGGCCTGCAGTACACCCCCAAGAGCCATCTGCTGTGCCACATGATCGACAGGAGATCGGTTGAAAGCGCACCCCACCCTTGGTAGGCCCCCGATTAAACAGAAATCAACACACGGTGAGAAACAATGGGGGTTTGGGGCATCCTAGGTAGGAATAAGAAAATATGTGTATTGTGTTTGGTTCCTGGTGCTCCCAGGGTTGACACCCAGGGCTCCCCCAAGCAGTACAACTGCTTTATAGACGAGTCGTTGAACTCGATGCTCAGGGACGTGGCCATTTTTGCTCACAGGGCCACGTTCGAGAAGCGCATCTTCGCACTGCTGGATCTTCAATCGCGCGTAGGTGTTTCTCAATACCTTCCGACACGGCCATGGCTTCCGCTCGTGGCTGGCGTGGCGTAGCGTGGATGCTTGTGTTAATGTTCGTGGCCCAGTCGTTTGCTGCGCCAGATCACGATATTGGGATGAAATGGGCGGTGAGGACCGCTCGCGAGATGCATTCCAAGGGAGTTGGCCTGAACTTGAAGGACGGTACTTCGTCGGTGATGTTGCAGTGCTGTATCGATTACTTTGTGCATGCGATGCCGTTCATACCTCGGCACACGGGATTTGTGGAGGTGTTCAGTGGAAAAGGTGGCACTACTGAGCGAGTGAGATCTAAACAGATTCGAGCCTTTGCTGTAGACCGCACTCTCAAGACTGATGGCTCGCATGACGTCTGCACCGCGGTCGGCCTCCTCTACGTCCTGTGGCTTCTGGGCACGCTCCGCGTCGGCAGCTTCGCCCACCTGGCTCCGGAATGCTCGACGTGGATTGGCTTGGCCCGCGCGCACACCAGGCGCCGCCGTGGCGACACTGAAGGTGACGTCTCGCGGGAGAAGGTGTTGGAGGCCAACCACGTGGCTGCCTTCACGTCCTTGCGGTGGAAAAATAACAGCGGGTAGGAGGAGAGGAAGGAGGAGGAGGAGGAGGAGAATGAGTAGGAGGACGAGGAAAGAGAGGAGGAGGAGGAATGGGCGAGGAGGAGAAGGAGGAATAGGAGGAGGAGGCAGAAGAGGAGGATGAGGGAGGCTGAGGACGAGAACGCGAATCAAGCTTGCAGTCCATCCCCTTGAGGTCCTACGTGATGGTTCTTGCCGCGGTGCGCGGCTTCTATGTTTCCGTGGAGCAGCCTGCGCACAGCTTACTGTTTCACGACCCTTCAATGGTGGATGCGATCAAGAATGTATCTGCCAAGAAAATGTTCCTCTGGATGGGCGGTTGGGGCGGCAACTCATTGAAACCTACTGAGATCTACTACACCTGCCCCGCCGAGAGGTTCAGCGTTCTCCACAAGAGTTTCAAGGAGGCGGCTGCGGTTCAGGGCAAGGGCAAGGGCAAAGCCAGTGCCAGCACCGACAGCCGCGTCGTCATTCGTCAGAAGAAGAGTGCTCGCACCTCTGGCAAGGGCTGGAAGACTGGCGAGTGGATCACGGGGAAGAAGGCGGAGCTCAAGCAGACGCAGGAGTACCCTGACAACTTCTGCGCAGCCTTCGCTGATCTGATTGAGTCCGTGTTCGACGCCCCTGGAACGGCGTCGCTGAGCATGCCGTCGGTCTTGAAGTACTAGGCAGGGCCCGCTCTGAAACGAGGCCGCGCTGACCCATGTGGACTTGGCGTGGGCAAGCCACGCTGTTTGAGCTCGCGAATGGCCGTCGAAAACACACCAGCAGATGATGTTGCATCGGCGATCGCATCAGGAGTTTGGCAATTCAGGCCATCGTGCCAATTTTGGCGCTCGGCCATAGCATCGCAGGCAAAACAAATCAAGGAATTCGAAGGAGGGTGGGAAAAGGAAGGATGGGAAGGGGGAGGGTGGGAAGGGGGTGGACACGGTGAGGAGAAAGAGGCGTCTGACCCCCCCGCACCTCCCGCTCACCTCCCTCTCCTTGCGTTCTTCTAGAACCATGTTCGCCCAATAATGGCAATCCAATGCGAACAAACGGCCACGCCGCGTGCTGCCTAGTACGATCACCACCCCGCCTGATGCGCTCCCCGCCCCCCCCCCGATGTCCAAACTAGCGAGACTCTGAATGAGGAGGTTGAGGAGGCGGCGGATGAGAAGTCAGAGCACAGCCTGGACAGAATGGACAGGCTGGATGAGGAGGAGGGCGAGGAAGAAGGAAAAGATGAAGAAGAATAATAATAATAAGAAGAAGGATAACAAGACGAGGAGGAGGAGGAGGAGGAGGAGGAGGAGGAGGAGGAGGAGGAGGAGGAGAGGAGGGTATTACCCCTCCACGTCGTCGCCGACAGGGCTGAGCGCGAGATCGATCGTTGGAGGTGCCAGGGCAGAACGCTGTTTCGGGGGAGGGGCCGTCCTCCGAACCATGCCTCCCGCGGCCGCCTTGCCGCCCAGGTTCCTCTTTCGCCGCTCTTCCATCTCCGTGCCTTGGCCCCTGGAGCAGGGCTATCGCACTGCAAAGCGGATGAAAGAGGAAACTGGGCGGCAGGCGCCCGCGGGAAGCTGGAAGGAGTCATCCACGTCCGTACCCCGAGGAAAAACACAGGAGGGAGAGGGCCGAGGCCAAACGCGCTGAGGAGGCAAGGCGCAGGGCTAGAAACGCTGAGTTCGACAGGGTCCAAGCTGTCATCTGGGCGACGCCAACCAGCGCCATGCAAGAGGAGGAGGAGGAGGAGGAGGAGGGGGAGGAGGAGGAGGAGGAGGACGGAGGAGGAGCTCGAAAGTCGACCTGGACTGATGCACGGTTGGCGTCGCCCGAACCATGAATTCGGTGACATGTGGGGAACCTTACCCGCCCCGCCGTCCAGAGCCCACGCCCCGAGTTAGGCAACCTAGGAGTAGCCTGCTCTCTAAGCGTTTTCCCATCAGGCCGCACCCTTTCAAATTGAAGATGTAGCCTCTCGGCCGCGGGTGAAAGTAGGAACAACAACAATCTAGTAGTAGTAATAGTAGTGGTCGTAGAGGTGGCAGTGGTGGTAGCACATGTTCTGTGGACTCTCGAGGCCGAGGAAGCGGCCGAGGAGGAGGAGGAGGCGGAGGAGGAGGAGGCGGAGGAGGAAGAGGAGGAGGAGGAGGAGGGAGGAGGAGGAGGAGGAGGAGGAGGAGGAGGAGGAGGAGGAGGAGGAGGAGGAGGAGGAGGGAGGTCACGCGGAAAGCCTTAAGAGGCCGTCGGCAGCGACGCTTTTTTTTGCGAAGGGCGGCGCCCTGGAGGAGGGGACGGATGAAGTGGATGAGGCGGCGGCGGGTAGGACGACGACGACGACGAGGGAACATGAGGTGTTTTGCATCACGTGCAGCGTCGAATGACGCACCTCGCACATTTTCTGTGGACTCCCGAGACCGAGGAGGCGGCCGAGGAGGAGGAGGAGGGGGAGGCGGAGGAGGAGGAGGAGGAGGAGGAGGAAGAGGAGGAGGGAGGCCGACACTTTTTTTTGCGAAGCCATGTAGAAGTATAGGAAAGCCAACCTCGCGCACACAATGATATAAACTGCTCTGCGCGCAAGTACGATACCCCGCCAAACGCAAAACAGCTGGCACGATACCAAGTAACAGTCTAGGAAAACCAACTTCGTGCACAAAGATATAAACACTCCGCAACCATGTCAAACGCATAAAATCTGGGACGATTAATTGTCCCACACGCGTGTTGTGGGACAATAAATCGACCAACACATGTAAGTACAGTGTTGGTCGAAAAAACTGTCCCAGAGGACCTCTGGGTCAAGGAATGGGCCCGGCGGCGGGGCCGAAACTAGCTGGATGCAGCAGATTTCGCAACACTCCCTTTCCCTATCCCCGCGTTCGTTCGGCCCGACCTTTTTCTATCCCACGAATGAAGGATCGATGTCCCATGGAAAACCTCAGGAAAACCTGAGGGGAAACTGTAAAACAATCAAGGAAACCCAAGCCCCTCCCCAACGAAAAGGGTTCCTTCTTCGGCGCCCCGACGGTAACTCGGGAATCTCTGAGATCTCGCGATTTGGGAGGATGTCTCGGGCGCAGCAGCCTTCTCCGAGCGTTCTAGAACGCTCTGAGAGCGGTCCGGAACGCTCTGGAAAGGTTTTATCCTCGTCGTGGCCCCCGTCCGAGTCCTAGACATGCGACGTGCTGATTTTTTCAATGCGGCCCTTTCCCTGGAAGTCCCTGGAAGTCCTGACCCTTTCCCCGGAGCCGGTTTTTCATCCGGAGTCGCTTTTTGACGGTCCCGAGGCCCGGCGAGGGCCCCCCGAGGCCGAAAACAGGCAAAAACCTCCCGTCCTGATTTTTTCAACGACGCGATCATGTCTGGGATCCCTCCTCCCTGCCCCCTCGCTCGCCGCCGATCTTGAGCAGAGCAGGCGGGGGGGGGGGGGTTCTGGCTCGGGGCCGTGCCGGGCGGAGGGGGAAAGACGGTGGCGACGACGAGGGGGGGAACGATGACGGGGCGGGGTGGATCAAGGAGCGCGTTTCTTTATGTTCGGCGATAATGGGCATTATAGGGGGGGCCAGGGGGGGGTATAATGTAACGCCTCCCCCCCGCCGCGCGCAGTGCTCCGAGTCTTTTATGTTGATGTCATTCTTCGTTCCCCTAGAAGAAGAGACGGAGAAGAAAACGATACATCGGCGGCGAGCCAGGGGGGTAAGTGAGAAGGGGAAGGCCTTGTCAGAAGGCAGTGGGACTTCTCTGGAGCCCCCGCGCCCTCTGAGAAATCTGTTGCGTTTAGCGGGGGGGCTCGGAAAACTTCTCAAAGGCCGGGGGATGTCCGAGCCTTCTGACAAGGCTCGCCCTTTCTGACTTCCACCCAGGCTCGCGGCTGATGAAGATGAAGATGAGAGGAAGAAGAACGAGGAGGTGGGAGATGGAAGACGAACGAGGAACATGACGAGGAGGGACAAAAAGCACAATGAGAAAGACGAGAAGGGAGGAGAAGAAAGTGGCAAAGAGGAAGAGGAGGAGGAAGGAAAGCAGGACGGCGACTTGACTACGTTGCACTACACCTTCCAACCTTCCAGGCAGTGGGGAAGGGCAATGGCGATCTTAATTGCATAATTAAGTTTGGTATGTTGCTGGGCATAGGTGGGTGCAGGAATCACCGCGACATTGATCAGGATGCCATATGGAGACTGCGGCGATGGGGGCGGCAATGCAGGCGATGATGATCAGGCTGGTGATGGGCGGTGAACATGTCGAGGACGCTTGCCGACGTCGGCGACGTAACGACAACGTAGGCGAGCTCCTGGTACAAGTTCTGAGAAGCCGTGTGGGCTGGCGAGCGGGGTCGCAAGCACCTTGGCTTGACGGGTTCCGCGCATTTCTTTCGACAAGCAGCTTGTCATCGATCGGACGAGCATTCCCCAGGTGCTTTTCCAGTTCGTGCGTGTGTTTTTGGCAAGATGGTCCGAGATGCTGTCGATGGTCCTCGCCGAAGAAAAATACACACGTCCGAACGATGCCAAGACACATTTGTCTCAGGATGAGGTAACACATGCAACTTTCGGTTCGGGCCCCCTCACAAACGAACGGTTTCAACAATCTGCCCGCTCGCTGCACTTCTGCCTGAATCCAACGCCACAACCTCTGTTTCCGCTTCATACGTCCTCGCCGGGACTCAAGTTTGTGCCCCGGTTTTTCTGGGTTTCGGCGGACCCCGAGCCAGGACAGGAAAGTCACGACTGCCAGCCCTCTGACGCGATGGAATTGCCAGCGGAAGGCCGAAAGCAGAAGCCTGTGTGCACCCAGAAAGAATAATAATTCGGCCTGCGTTTGATGTGCATGGCACTTGTGTATGTCATTGACGCGTGCCCGTGGTATATGCCTGACGGTGTTTCTTCCAGATGTACGTTCGTGGAATACGTTATTGGACGAATTCCTTGGTGCATCTGTTTGAAAAAGGGCCAGCTATTGCTGGCGGTCATTGGTCGTTGTCGATTGTGCATGTTGCCCATGTGTGCTCTCACCGTTTAAACGTCTGGTTGCGGTGCATGGTCCTGGCGCATGCCATTGAAATGTTGTCACGTTGTGCAATGCGTGCTCGTGCTGTCTGGAACTACGTTTGCTGATGGTGGTTGGTTTGATGTATCTAGGTGATGAGGTGCAGTGACATGTTGGTGCTTTGTATTCGTAATACGGGTGTATGTGAATCCTAAGGGTGTATGGTCAGTCCTCCCCCTTTTCCTCCTCCTCCTCCTCGTCCCCGTCCTTTTCTTATTACTATTATGTTTACTCATGTTGTGATTAGTACTCTTAGTATTATTCCTCCTCCTCTTCCTCCCTCTCCTCTTCCTCACTCTCCTCCTCCTACTCTTCCTCCTCCTCATCCTCCTCCTCTTCCTCCCCCTCGTCCCCAAACCTTCCTCCGCACCCTGCCCCCCCCCCTCCTCCCGCGACAGGGGTCGCAGCAGCAGCGATCCTGGCTGCTGCCCGGGCGCGCCTTCGGAGGACGTTGCCGTCGGGCTGCCCGTGGGGCAACGCTCGGAGGGCAGCAGCGTCACCTTGCGCGGGGGGGGGAGGGGACGCCGACAAATCCTCCCGAGGTGGACGTGATGAAGGATGGTAATGCGGATGACGATGGTGATGATGCTGATGATGATGATGATGATGCTGATGATGATGATGATGATGATGGCAGTGGTGATGATGATGATCATGTGGCAAACGCTGATCGTTCACCAATCCAACTGCTACGTGAGCTCCCTGGACAACACAATTCCGAGGCCGTGACTGTCAAATCTTGCAACCCAGGTCGGCGGGCCACCACAAGCTTTCGGCCAACCAACTATCTTGTTTCACAGCACGACGCGAGCATGTACAACATAGAGAACGCGGGGCTCTATGGCACGGGCACCCTGAACGCACTCCCTCCCATAAAACCAGAAGACTCCAGGAGGGGACAGACGCTCGGGGCCCTCGTCGACTGACCTCGAAGCGGACCTCACGCCACGCGAGGTGGACAGCAGACCAATTAAGTCAAGCAGCGCTGAATGTACGAACGCGCTGTGGCTGCCGAGTTCATGTGGCACGAGGAGAGTGCGTTCGCACGGTGAAGCTGCAGATGTTCTCCAGAACTTGTTCTTCGCCACAAACGCAACGTCGCGGCAATCCGAATCAGGAAGCTGATGGTGCGCAAACTGACGTTCAAACACCTGAGAGAGCGTGATCCACCGCCGCTTTACTGTGGAAAATTGCCAACCTTTTCCTCCGGAGCCCGGGGGTCTCCCCCCCCCCCCTCCGAAAATCCCCCCCCCCTGCTGGAACCCCTCCCCCCCCCCCCCCCCCCCCACCCACCCCTCCCCCCCCCCCCCCCCCTCCCCTAACCCCCCCCCTTCCCCTAACCCCCCCCCTCCCCCTCGAAAACCGGGGGGGGGTCACTACCGGTTCGAACCCCCCCCCCCCCCCCCCCCTCCGGATCCGGAAAACCGGGGGGGGTCACTACCGGTTGGACCCCCCCCCCCCTCGAAAACCGGAGGGGGGTCACTACCGGTTCGACCCCCCCCCCACGCACCGCCAGCAAACGACTCCCGGTCCCTACCACCGCTCGCATGACATCCCCCACTGTTGTTCCCAGCACCACTGTCCTCACCACCACTGCCCCCGCTGGTTCCACCACCGTCCCTATTGTCCCCACCAGTGCCCCCACCACTGTCGCACTGTCCCCACTGTTCCCACAACTGTTCCCACCACGGTTCCACTCTCCCCACTGTCTCCACGGACCCAACCACTGCCTATCCCCACTGTCCCCACTGTCCCACTGACTCCTCCGCTGTCCCACTGAGCTGTCCCACTGTTCCCACCACTGTCCCCACTGTCCCCACCACTGTCCCCACTGTACCTCTGTCCCATTGTCCCACCGCCGTCCTCGCCGACCCTTTACCAGTGTCCCCACCACCATTGTACCCCACTGTCCCAGTGTTTCCACCTCATTCCCACTGTCCCCACACCACTGTCCCCACCACCACCGTTCCCACCACTGTCCACTGTCCCCCCTGTTCCCACCATTGTCCCCACCACTGTCCCCACCACTACCGTCCCCACCGCTGTCCCACTGTCCCACTGTCCCCACCACTGTCCCGCTGTCCCCTCACCACTGTCCCCACCAACACCGTCCCCACCACTGTCCGCACCCCCACTCGGTTTTCGAGGGGGGGGGGGTTCGAACCGGTAGTGACCCCCCCCCCTTTTCATGATGAGCTGGGGGGGGGGGGGGAGGGGTTCGAACCGGTAGTGACCCCCCCCGGTTTTCCGGAGGGGGGGGGGGGGGAGGGGTTCGAACAGGTAGTGACCCCCCCCGGTTTTCCGCCAGCAGCGGTAGAACACGCTCTTTCAAACACCTGGAACCACAATATACGTCGACGCCGATGCGCGCAATACACTTGGCTATACCTCGTGTTTGGTACAAGAAGTGCTTTCCCCAAAACACGTTGCAGTCACGCACGCGTAGCTTGACATGGTTGCGCTTCTTTCTGGACTCGAGCAGGTCGAAGGGTGCCCAGCGCAGCGCTGAGAGCAGCGCGCGGAACTCCAGTTGGCCTTCCACGTCAGAAGTGCTCCACAACCAGGTGGCCCCCGGTCGTTTGACTGGGATGTGTAGAAAAGGGCGTACTTCTCGTTGGCCACGTCCTCGGACTTGCGCATCCACAGCGGCTTGTTATTGTTGCGCTGCTCCCACTCGCGGGGTACCTCCTTGACCATCTGGGTCGCTTCACATTTTCCTCCTTCTCTTTTTCCTCATCAACCTCCTCGATCTTCGGATCGTCGCCAAATTTCTCCTCGTGCTTCTTCACATCCTCCTCCTCGCCCTCGGAATCCGTCTCTTCGTCCCCCTTTTGCTTTTCCACGTGCAACTCAATCGGGGTGCGATGCACTCATAATGCTCCTTGACCAGATCCTGCAGGCGGCGCTCATCAGAGAACAGATGATCTTGGTGCTGCAATTCATGTCCTCGTGCACCATCTCCGCGTCCTTCTGCGCCGTGAAAGCACCGTCAGCACCGGACTCAAAGATGTGCTGCTCGTCGTCGCTGTTTTTGCTGATCACGCGCACCTTGACCTAGACACGATACGAGGAGTAGACGCCGACACACATACAAATGCCTGCCATGACGTGAGCGACCATGCTTGTTCCTCGAGGCTACGACTTGAAAGTGTTGGCCCGCCGGATTGTCCCGCCTGCTCTCCCAGGTCCCCGCCTGCCGTTGCCCTTCTATGTTTTTGGTCTGCGTGTTCACGCGTGTGGCTACTCCTGCGTATCAGAACGTGGCGATCTTTTCGATCAACGCAGGTGTATCAGATCGTAGAGCGGCAGGAGGGAGAATGAGAGGAGGGAAATGCAAAGGATGAGGAGGAGGAGGAGGAGGAGGAGGAGGAGGACAAGGCGGAGGATGGAGGAGTATCGGAGCACGGGAAGGAGAAAGAGAGAGGGAAAAAAGCAGACGAGGGGGAGGAGAAGAGGAGGAAGAGCAGGACAGTGGGATGAGGAGGAGGAAAGGAGGAGGGGGAGGTGGGGGAAGGTGGATATGTGGAGAAGGGGGGGGGAGATAGCGGAGGTGGAGGGAGTGTGTAGACTTGGCGTGGATTCGCAGTCGTGTTCAAGACTTGCTTCCCGGTGGCAAGAACCGTGGAGCAGGCCTGAACAAGTATAGGAGGATAAGGGGGGAGAGCGTGAGCAAGAGGGGCAGGAGGAATATGCGGAGGTGTGGTGAAGAAGGGGACAGGAAGTAAGAAGGAGAGGTGAAGGGGGAAGTAGGAGGGGAAGCACCCCCCTCCTCCTCCGAATGCTCCTCAAGTTCTTCCCCTGCTCATGTTCATCCTACTGTTCCTCATCCTCGCAACTCGTTTCTCCCTTCTCCCACTCTCCACTTTCTACCGATCCTCCATCAAGGCTTCCTCCTCCTCCTCCTTCTCCTCCTGCTCTCCCTTCCCCCTCTTCCCTGCCTCCTCGTCCTGCTAGTACCCCTCATCAATCCTCATCCTCGCCCTCGATCTCTTCCTCCTCCCGCCTTTTCCATCCTCCTCCTCTTCCTCCTGCTCATCTCCCGCTCGCCTCCTCTCCCGTCCGTCCTCTTGCTGCTGCCTCTCGGCCTCCTGCTACTGCCCCTGCTCCCGACGCTGCCGACTGCTCCTCTGCTCCTCCTGCTGCGGCATCCCCCCCCTCCCCATAGACCCTCCAACTTCTCTCCCCAGCCTCTCCTCCCCATCGCGCCCCTGCCGCCCCTCCCCATTCACCCGCCTCGTCTTCAGCCTCGTCCTCGTCCTCGTCCTGGTCCACCTCCCTCTCGTCCTCCTCCTCCTGGGAGCAGCCCCTCGCTTCTGGTCTGTATCACGTGCGGAGACTACGCCGCTGTCTCGGCTGGCGGGGGCGAGAGGGTTGTGGGTCTTTCAAGTCTACCCTGGACCCCGCGCACTCCCTGGCTGGGTGCTGGGTCTGGTAAGAAGAGTACTGCGAGGCTCCTTCGAGCCAAGCACCCTGCTATCGCGTTCATGTTGTGTCCTGCTCGGTCCCGTGGCCCTTGCGGTTAAGTTTATCGGTCCTCGTTTTTTGGTCGCCCTGTGACCTTGCCAGACAGACCCAGAGCTGCGAGGGGCCGCCCTTGTGGGGGGACCGCCATTCTTTGTCTCTCAGGCTGCCTCCAAGCGTTCGGCCGGAAGGAAGAGGAGGCTCGACAGCGGGGCAGGGAGTTTCGAGAGCCTGTCTGTCAGTCCTGCTGAGGACGAAGATCTTTCCAACTCAACCACTTCCTCCCCCCTCCCTCCTCCTGCTCCTGCTCCAGCTCCAGCTCCTCCTCCTCCTCCTCCCCCTACTCCCTCCCTCCCTCCTCCTCCCTCCCTCCTCCTCCTCCCTCCCTCCTCCTCCCTCCCTTCTTCTCCCTCCTTCTCCTCCTCCTTCCTCCCTCCTCCTCCTCCTCCTCCTCCTCCTCCTTCTCTTCCTCCCTCCGTCCCTCCCCCCTCCTCCTTGTCCACCTCCTCCTGAAACCTGGCTGTCCACATAAACAGCTCGTCCCTTCAGCACGCCCAGACGTGTCGGCAAGGCACGCCACGCGCTTCGTATGACAGCTCCGTACCAGCAATATGTTCCAAAAGCTAGACATCTACAACACATATTCAAAGATGGAGGGCGCATTGTTTTCCAACTGTGGCCCCTGCCTGAACGCCACGCACAACTTGGTTTGAACTGACGCAGCAGACTCAAGGAGGAAGGGCGGCTGGTCTTCAAAATGTGATCCTCGCCCTGGCGTCGCGCACATTCGACTTAACGATTCGCAGGAATTTCAAGGATGGAGGCCGGTACCTTGAAAATGCGGTTGTCGCCTTAGCGGCTGCGCACCGTCGACTTAAGTCTACAGCAATTTCCGCCAGTCGTATGGTTGAACTCCCATGAATGGTGTTCTGGCACGGTTCAGAATTGTCAGGACATTAAAGCCACCTTGATTCGCCGTGTTGAGGTCCCACGACTGGCGTTCTGGTCCAGTTTAGGATCGTCCGAACGCGACAGCCACGTTAACTCGCGGCGTTGAGATTCCAGGAACGGTGTTCTGACACGATCGAGAATTCTAAGACGGCTGTTTTTAACTGGGGCACGTCCCCCAATGTTGTAGGGATCGGCGACGAGAGACCTTGGAGGGAGGGTTTATTGTAACATCGTTGACGCATACTGGGTTTACACAAATCCTTTTCCTCCATTCCTCCTCCTCATCGTCATCCGCCTCCACTTCCTCCTCCTAGTCCTCCTCCTCCTGCTCATCATCATTATCATCATCACCACATCCATCATCATCATCATCATCATCATCATCATCATCATCAGCATCACCACCACCATCATCATCACCATCACTATAACCACCACCATCACCACCATCACTACCATCACCATCACCATCACCATCACCACCATCACAATCACCACCATCAACAGTACCATCACCATCACCATCACCATCACCATCACCACCACCATCACCATTATCATCATCATCATCGTCGTCGTCGTCGTTCGTCTTCCTCGCACGTCCTGCTCCTTGCTGCTCCCCTCCCCCCTCCTTCTGCTCCTGCTGCTCCTCCTCCTCCTCCACCTGCCGCTCCGGGCGCCGAGCCTGCGACACGGAGAGGCACACATCCACAAAGCCGTAGTAGTGCGCCCGCCGATCCGGGCGCCGGCCGGTGTCTGCCCCGCCCGCGCTTCTTTGTCGCCACCGCCGCCGTCGCAAGAATCGTGGCCGTTGTGGTCGCGGTCGTGATCGTCGGCCGCGGGCGCGGATCGTGGCCGTCGTCGTCGGCTGGTCTCTCCGCACTTTTCGCCTCGCAAGGGTCGTCGTCGTTGTCTGGCCTCCGTGCCTGCGTGGCCCAGGCCTCGTCGTCGTGGTCGACTGTCGTAGCCGCGGCCGAGGTCATCGTCGTAGTCGCCCGCCGCCGCCGCCGTCGTCGCGGTCCGCGGCGTCGCGGTCCGCATCCCTGTCGTGAGCCGAGGCCGGAGAGGTGCCGGAAGAGAAGCTGGGGTGGAGTTGGACGCCGAAGGGCCTTTCTGGGTGGAGGAGGGGCCGAAGCTGGCAATCGAGGGCGCGGGAGGGAAAATGGGCGAGGCATGGTGAAGGACCGCGGCAAAGTGACAGGGAAGAGGCAGTTGTGGATGGGGGGTCGGAGCCAAAAGTTCAAACTCAAGTTCGCTCCTGGTAGCTGCACCTCGCGAAACGCCAACGAACATCGCCTACAGAGCGCATCTGGCAAGATGCTAGACTCACAAGGGCGTCCACCCATCGCAGAGGAGGGTGGAGGACGAAAAGAGACAAAAACGGCAAAAAGAAAAAGAAAATCAATGCAATGCAACGCCTGTCGACAGAGCGCAGGGGCAACGCGCGCACATCTCTTGGCGCATCCCGGAGCAACCCGACTGATGGGACAACCCCGGCTTGCTACCGCCCCCCGTCATCCGACCCAACAAGCGCGTCCTGAGGGAAACGGGCGCCAGAGTTTTCTCAATGTATGATATGGGGGATAGACCAAGGGCGGGCGTTACACGCATTCCCCTGGGAGCCACGTCGAAGACATGGGCGATCGAAAGCTGTGGATACATATGTTTGAAGGGGCCCTGGGACACACAAATGAATAGACACAAATAACCAGATTCCCAATATCTTCCGATATTTTCTGGGTTGTCGTCTCCCCCCCCACTCCCCATATTTCCCATATGTTCGGGAGAATCGACGATTAGTTGTGTCTGTGTGTTGTGTTCCCCTCCTGAATGTTGCTCTCCTCCTCCTCCTCCTCCTCATCATCATCACTACCACCACCACCACCACAACCATCATCATCATCATCATCATCATCATCATCATCATCAGCATCATCATCATCATCATCAGCATCAGCATCATCATCATTATCATCATCATCATCATCATCAGCATCAGCATCAGCATCAGCATCAGCATCATCATCATCAGCATCATCCTCATCCTCATCCTCATCCTCATCCTCATCCTCGTCATCAACATCATCATCATCAGCATCAGCCTCAGCCTCAGCCTCAGCCTCAGCCCCAGCCTCAACATCAGCATCAGCATCAGCATCATCATCATTATCATCACCATCATCACCATCACATCCTCATCACTATCATTATCATCATCATCATCACCATTATTATCATTATTATCATCATCATCATCATCATCATCATCATCATCATCAGCAGCAGCAGCAGCAGCAGCATATCTCTTCCTCTCTCCTGTCTCCTCTCTCTCCTCTCCTCTCTCCTCTCTCCTCTCTCCTCTCTCCTCTCCTCCTCCTCCTCCTCCTCCTTCTCCTCCTCCTCCTTTTCCTGCGAGGCGGTGCCCCCCCCTCCTGTGCAGAAGCCCCGCGCCACGGGCGAAACCGAAAACAAAACGCGAGGGCGGGGCGCCGTAGCCGCAGTTACCCCCCCTAATGGGCATGTGTTCCACCACCACCACCACCACAAGTTGGAGGGGGATGGGGTCCTCCTCCTCCTCCTCTTCCTCCTCCTCTCCCTCCTCTTCCTCCTCCGCCTCCTCCTCCTCTTCCTCCTCCTCCTGCTCCTCCTCCTCCTTTTCCTCCTCCTCTTCCTCCTCCTCTTCGTCCTCCTCTTCCTCGTCCTCCTCCTCCTCGTCCTCCTCCTCCTCCTCCTCCTCCTCCCTCCCCCCTCCCAACCTATGGTGGCGGTGAAGGAAAACAGACCCATCCCCCACACCCCCACCCCCCGCGCGATCGAGGAGCGCGCCCGCCCGCACCAAGGTGGAGGACAGAACGACACTAAGAGGCCATTGTCGTCGTCGTCGTCGTCGTCGCCGCCCCTTCCCACCCCGGGCTGGGGGGCGGCGATGGGGAGAGGAAACCAAAACGGCAGGGTTGGATGCCTGGCAATTGGCTGCCTCCACGTGGGGAATCTGATTATAAATGTCGGCGTTGGTGGTAAATGTCGGCAACAGTGGAAGCCAGAATATCAGCACCATCGCCGAAGTCGGCATCGGCTTCCCTCGGCGGAAGCACGCCGCCGACCGCGGCGCTGGCGTCCCGCAGCGAGCACGGAGAAACAGGAGGAGGAGGATAAAGGGGGGGAGGAGGATGGGGAGGGAAAAAGGGGAGGGGGAGGGGGAGGGGGAGGAGGAGGAGGAGGAGGAGGAGGAGGAGGAGGAGGAGGAGGAGGAGGAGGAGCAGGAGGAGGAGGGGGAGGAGGAGGAGGAGGAGGAGGAGGAGGAGGAGGAGGAAAAGGAGCAGGAGGAGGAGGGGGAGGAGGAGGAGGAGGAGGATGAGGAGGACGAGGACAAGGAGGAGCGCACGCGACCAAGGGGGGAGGCGGGACAGCAGCAACAGCAGCGAGAGGAGGGAAGTCCAGGTCCCCCACGCCGCCGTACTACCTGAGCGCCGAGCTACCCTATGAAGGTACCATCCGAACGCAACACCTCTTCAATTGTTTGAGGCGGGCGCGCGCGCGCGCCCCCCGGCAGACCAGCCTCGGACGAACCGGCAACTGGCTGCCAAAGGGGGCACTGCGCAGGAAAGCGGCCGAGCCAGCGCGCACGGCCCCCAGCAGACCAGCCTCGGACAAACCGGCAACTGGCTGCAAGGGGCACTGCGGCACTGCGGGCCGAGCTGCGCTGGCCACTCCAGCAGCGACTATGCTGTGCAGAGACCGCGACTCGCGGCACGCGGCGACCAGCCGCGCTCGACCCAATCGCTCGATCGCAGAGGTCGGCAATCGCCGAGACGAGTGGCGACGGAGAGGTGTAAACGTGAAATCTCACATCTAGATAAAGCCCAACGCTTATTATTGATGGGAGCGTGCACGGCAACATCGACAAGGTGAGGCGGGACAGAGAGGAAACGGAGCAAAAATAAGCAGGAAGATGGGGCAGATGCGTGAACAGACATCCGAAATTACTGCAACTAATCATACGCCGAAGAAAATTGGCATCATCGGAACAGCATGCTATACGTGGGCGGGTCGGACTGCGGAACCGATTCGATGTGCACTAACAGCTACATCTGGTTTCGAGAACACTAAAAATACGGAACATGGAAGGCTTGGGGCCAGCCTGTACAGGCCGATCATGACAGAGTCTACATCGCTAGGGCGCACGAGCAGATAATGATGGAGGCGTCATGGACAATTCGTCATGCTCAAGGGATACGAGGAGCTTCTCAGTTTTCCGTTGGAAATGTTGTCACTCAAGTGGGGTCCTCAGGGATGTTCGCGATGATGCGAAATCTGCGCCATACTTGCCGCAGGGTGGTAGATGACCAAAACTTGTAGACTCCCAGCATACCGTGCAATCGCCGACTTTTCCGAGACGGTACAGCTCTTCCAGCAGAGGGGTGAGCGCGCTCGAAAAGATATCATTCCTGTACATCGCAGCTCTGGTCTCTGTGAACAGGTCGCTGCACTGGACAGGCATGAGTATGTCTTTCACATGTTCCATCGCACTCGTCGCGATGGCGTTCCTAGGCCCAGCCACCAAGGCCCGCGCGCCATTGTTCTCAGCGCTAAGCATGGCAGTTGACGGGAAGTGGTGCTGGGGGAAGTGGCTGAGAACGCTGAGACACAACATGTTGTAGTGCGACAGCGATTTGATCATGCCTGGCCCGAGATCGCGCGCCATCCGAGCCCCGCAGAGATACTTGGCCACGGGGGCCGCCCAGCTGGCGAGGTTACCTCCCCGACCAATGCCAGGCCCAAGGTAGCGCCCCGACTTTGCCCGCGCCCAGGTCCCGGGGCCCAAGCCGGCGCCCTGAAGCCGTTGCAGAATTTCAGCATCGGCGATCGTCCCAAGGAAAAATCAGAAACGTCTTTTTTCCGGTGTATATAAAACCCTCAAACTTTGGCAACAGCGTCCCATACTTCGATGAAACTGCGCAGCGCGCTGAAAACGTCGCCGGCGGCCGTGCCAACGTCGTCAGCGCACGCAGCGCGAGCGGCTGCGGGCTGAGGAACACGCGCGCAGAAGACGCGCGCCACGGGGTCGAACACGATGGCCCAGAGGGGCCCTGACAACGGACATCCTCGTTTATAATGCCCTGAGACACCGGATGCCCGCGCCCCGAGGCCCGCGGGAAAAGATCTGGCACCAAAGCCGCTGGAAGAAACATCGGGCCCCATGAATCATGTGCTCAGGAAGACCCATCATGCAGAACGCCCAAAAGATCACGCCATGCAGCAGGGAGAGGAAGACCGCGCAGGCGTCGAAGCACACGCAGCCGTTTCGACGCTCATCGCGTAGAAGTGAATGGGCCGAGCCTCCAGCTCGAAGACGTTGTTGGTCATGTTTCTGAGTTTCGCGAATCCACCAGGGCTGCTGACGCATATGGCCTGGGCGATGTCTGCCAGCGGCTCGCTGAAAGCAATGGGGGGGCAACTTGTTACTAGCATTGCTGAAAGTAAGAGGCCTCGCACCGTCAGGGCTTCTGAAGATTTCATTGTGGTCGCGGTCCATGGGCACTTGGGGATGGACAGTTAATCATGTCGCCCGCCATGCCCATGTCGAGGATGTGCGATGCTAGACGATACAGACAAATCGGAGCGGGTTCACCAGCTGGGATCCAGGCTGAGCACGGGGGGCCGTCGGGGCCGGGGGGCGCGTCGCGTTTCCGACGGATGCATTGACAGAAGTCCTCGCGCTCGAGACGGTGCCCCGCGCGGCGAGGCGCGTGGTGCACAAGCTCCGCTCGCGCGTTCTCGCGGCAGTTCTTGTGAACGTGAACCTTGGGCCCGTGGCGGGCCAGTTCGGTGGCCGCCGCGCCGGGGTCGCACAGCTGCTGGCCAACGCGGCCAAGGATGATGCGGTCAGAATACGTCTCTTTTCCCGACGCCAAGCAGACTTGCACGAGTAGAGCCCATCAGTATTATGTTCCTTGGTCCCGGCCGAAACCGCGAGGCTGTCGACGCCCCCCGACCTTTCTGTGGCGCGTGCTGGCTTTGGCTTGCTCGAGATCCTGCGTAACCTGACGCGCAGCTTCGCTGAGAACATCGCCGATCTCGATGACAGCTTGCGAGGGGCCATCGCTGGGAGTGCCAGCTCCGCTGGCATGGCGGGCAACGACATCAGGGTAGCGCTCGCGCCGGGGAATCCACTTCGGCATTCGGCAAAAGTCGGGTGAGCACGAGTTGCAAGAGAAAGGACTGCAGCCACGTGATCGGACAGCTCGCGCAGAGGGGCCGCCTCGCCTAGAGTTTCGCTGCTAGGGTGCATATCGAGTACTTCAGCACTGGCCATATTCGGGTAGATGCGATCCATGCGAGCGAAAGAGGCGATCTGCGATACTCCAGTATCATCATGTCGAGTGGCACGGTGCGCAATTGCGTCCTGGCCCACCTCGGCGAGCCCAGGAAAAAGGAAAGCGAACAGTTAGCCAACCTACGAGGTGGGAACATCACGCGTCCGTCAGCTCGGTGGGCCCCCCCCCCCCCCCCAGTGGCTGAGAAATTGAAGCCCCCCCGTCAGCAAAACCGTGGCCCGATCAGCATAAATCTTCTTAACCTTGATTTTGAGAGGCCCCTTCGCGCGCTGCCTGGTCGAGAGTGATGGGTCGCTATTTACATCGACGGGCGCGAAGCGTTCAATCTCATTCTCCAGAATGAGGCAGCGCCTGCGACCCTTCTCTATCGAAAGACGGTGGCGCACCGGAAATAGTTCGCAGATCCTGGGGGAAGGGGGGGGCAGACACCCGCCCTGGGCGTGGGCGGCGCAGAACGTTTCCGACAACGCAGCAGTCTTGAGCTCATCGAGTCAACTGCTCAAGGCCCTCGGGGTTCCCACGGGGTTCCTGAGCGCAAGCGATCTCACGATGGCCCGAGACATCCATCAGCCTGGGACTCTTCTATAGATTATGCTGAAGGTGAGGCCCAAGAGAACCGAATAGACAGCAGCCGTTCCAAGAAACAATACTGAACTTGCTGGTCGGCAAGAAAGGCCGCAGGCCTGATCCAGAGTTATCCATCGCAGATTCGGAGCAAGAGTCAGAGGATGAGGGGGCGGACGAAGCCGATGAAGCCGTTGAATTTGGGGTGGGCGTAGAACTGTTCACTGAGACCCAGCATTGATGCACGCCATCGCCTGCGCTGCTGAGGATGCTCGGCATACTCATAGTTGTGATAGCGCTCCCGTCATCAGCAGAAGTTCGGACTGGCAAAATAATGTCCGAACGAGTGGCAGGGGTCCCAGTGCTGTAGGTCTGCTCCTCAATCGCAAACCGTTGCATCTCTTGGCCGTTTTGGTTGATGGTAAACTGGTCGCTGCCTCCGGCCTCGATCTGGAAGAGAAGCGTCACCTCGTCATCCATGATAAAGAACAGCGTGCCCTTGAAGCCCGGCGGGCCGAGCCTCATGTTCGCGGTCCACTCGTTGGTGGAGGCGAGCTGGATGCGTGCACGCTCCCACAGGTAGCCAAGGATCCTGCTGCGGCGTCTCATGTCCACTGCCGCGTCTTTGCGTGCACGCAGCTGGACCACACCTCCACGAGGAACTGTCCACTTCGCGCCATCTTTCCGCACACGCTCGAGGAAGTCGTTCGCATATGCGGTGTCAGAGACGACAATGATGTAGCTCCCTTGCAGGTTGTAGCCCTTGGTCACAACGCCCTTTCGAGCAGCCTCAGGAATGTTGGCAGGAACGGTATGCCCATGATGCTCGAGAACTCGGCCGAACAGCGGCCGCGGGAACTCTCCGATCCATACTTTGCGGGGGTCTGACATAGCCTCAGGCTTGGCCCTGGTGGAACCAGACAGAAAAGAAGCAGTCGATGAAGGCGACGAAGCGGGCGGCATAGCACGCTTGATATCAACGACCTTCTGATCCAACATGGTATCGATCGTTTTCGTTTGTGCCTCCGACCGTGTGTCATTCATCTGTATACCCATAGTGTCCATCCTATCCTGAAATTCGTCGATACGACGCGCCTGAGCAACCAGGTCCGTGCGCACGCTGTTCAGGTCCCCCTTGGTCGCAAGGTTGGCCTGCCCAGACTGAACCGAGGTGAGCATCTGAAACCTGCGCTGGAAGTCGGCAGCCTGGTCTGAACCTGTCGCACTCTTGCCACCAGCTTTGGCATGAGCGATGCGAACAGCCTTGGCCGCAGGCAGCGTCTCGGCGGGCGCTGCAAGCTGGGCAGCAACGCCGAAGACCGAGGGAGCAGCCGCATCGTCCTCCACCGCGGGATCAGCAAGAGTAATGTGAGACGTGGAGAGCGCAAAGCGCGGGGCTCGGCCGTGGTCTGCTGTCGACCGTGGGAGGCGTTCGAACCTTGAGCCAAATGGCTTGAGCCAAAATGGCTAAGGAGGAGGAGGAGGAGCAGAAAGAGGAGGAGGTGTTGAACCCTGACTTCGGGGCGCCTCGGGGATGGGCAACGCAACGGGGGGCAGTCGCACGCACAGGAAGGAGCAAGCGGAAATGATGCGCGTGCGAGGCCGAAGTTGGCGCACGTGAGCCCTTGACCAAGGGGGCAATGCAACCTCGGCGACCCCACCCGCAGAGGCGGCACCGCGACATGTTCCGCACTCAGAGTGCCGAGGAGGAGGGGCAAGGGGGAGGAGGAGGAGGGCCCCCCCCCTGGCGCCTGCCGAGAGGAGGCGCAGGGGGAGCGGGAGGAGGACGAGGATCGAGAAGCGAGGAAGAGGACAACCGATCAAGGAACGAGCCCCCGTGGCTGTGTTAGAGTCGCCCTCACCGTCCCCGAAGGGCCCAGAGGGAAGCAGCGCAGAGAGGACCTGCGCGCCCACCTGCCAGTCCCGCGCAGCAAGGTACAAACGGAAGTCGTCGTCGTCGTCGCCGTCGCCGTTGTCGTCGCCGTCGCCGCCGTCGTCGTCGTCGTCGTCGCCGTCGCCGTCGTCGTCGTCGTCGTCGTCGTCGCGGTCGTCGTCGTCGTCGTCGTCGTCGTCGTCGTCGTCGTCGTCGTCGTCGTCGTCGCCGTCGCCGTCGCCGTCGCCGTCGCCGTCGCCGTCGCCGTCGCCGTCGCCGTCGCCGTCGCCGTCGCCGTCGCCGCCGCCGTCGACGTCGACGTCGACGTCGTTGTGGAGGTCCTCGTCGTCGTCGTCGCTTTCATCGTCATCGAGGCGTCGTTGCTAAAAATGTCATCGTCGTCGTCGCTGCCCCAGCCCCGTCCGAAGGAAAGCACGACGGTGCCGTCGTGGAGCATCGACAACGTGCCTCTGCCGCAGCAGCGGGAAGGCAGGCGGGCACTACCAGGGGGGAGGGGGGAGGCAGGCACCGCTGAGGCTGAGGCAGGGCAGAGGGGGGGGGGGGCAATAGGGGGGGGGGACTGGCTCGGTGGGGGGGATGGACAATCAGGGGATGAGGGGGGGGGATAGGGGGGAAACGATAAGGGGGGGACTGGCTCAGTGGGGGAGTTCTCGACTGGGAAAGCGGCGATGCATCGTCGACTGATCGGCGACAGGTCCACGATAGCGACGCCGCATGTTCCTGGGCAGGGTATGCATGCCCCCCTGCGCCTATCCACCCCCGAATGTTGCCCCTGACGGATGAGGGGGGGCGGGGACGAGGGAGAGGCCAGACGAAGGCAGGATGAGCACAAACTCGGATGAAGACAGCTCGGAACTCTGGGAGAGCCGGCGCGGCTGGACGCTGGATTCCACAGCCCTCCCAGCGCGCTCCAGGACGCCCATGCGAGGGCGCTCCACGTCGCCCGGAGAGGCGGGAGGGCGCCGGAGGCTGAGGCACGGGTGCGCCGACGGCGGCAGCGGTGGCGGCGACCACGGCGGACGGGTGGAGCTTGGGAGGACTCCACGCCCCTGCAAACGGGGCGTTGGCAAACGGGCTGGTAGCTACGTAAGGGTACGTTTCCAATGGCGTTTGGGAAAAATAGCTTACAATGTACAAGTGCGAGGTACATACCCCCGCCCAGAGTTATGACGATGTATCGACGTGCTCGTCGACCCGGTGTATCACGCACTAGTGCGAGGTAAATGCTCTGTCACCCCGTTCTCGCTTGAAGAGCCCCCTGAGCTACCGCCCCATTTACAAACGCCTCGTTTGCAGGGGCCTGGGAACTAAGAGCACGAGGATGGAGGGATTGAGCTGACCTGGAAACGAAAGAAAAGACAAGGCACGAAAGACATAACCGAATGAAATTTCGAAAACCTGCGTGGATGTCTGATGTCTCGGATCACGGCCGGACCCTCCTCCATGGCGCGCAGAGCGCGCCGAGGGCAGTGCCGGAGGCGCCGCCAGGGGAGTCCCGGTGCCGATCCAATAAACCCGCCCAGACCTCAGACTTTGTGGGTTTATGCTGTTCCCGTCGTCCCAGGTCGGTGTCTGCCGTGAAAGCAGCAGGCATGCGGAGCGTGACTCGCGCAGCGCAGCAAGAGGTCCGCGCCGACCCTCGAAAGTGTCTCCTTATGTAGTTAGAGGCCTCCTAGATGGGGACGGAGTAGGTGGGATCGGAGGATCGCGCCGCATCGCCGATAAAACGGCGATGCATCGGCGATGCGTCATCGACGTGGGCGATACATCGGCGCCGTCGACGTGAAGCAAATCGGGCGCCACATCGAGCCGCATCGGCGATGTATCGGCGATGCGGCGCGATCCTTTGACCCATCTCCTCCGACCCCATCTATCGGGGGCGGCAAAGAGGGGGGCGTCCAAGAGGGGGGGGTACAAATCATGGCCGGCGGCATGTGCGCGGCCCAGGGGGGGGCCGGGGACGTATTGAAATAAGACGAGCCGCCATGAAATCTGGGGAAAAATCATGGCCCACGCCATGATATCCCCCCCCCCTAGTCATCACCCCCCCTCTTTGCCGCCCCCGACTCAAGGAAGCCCAGAGCAGCTGCTTCCTCGCCGAGCAGTGGTGCTCGCAGCATCTGCTGGCCGGACTCTGCACGTGCAGAGCCGAAGGGCACGGATCTCGGACGGGGGCGGAGGCCTCCACCCGAGGTCGGAGGAGGAGGAGGAGGAGGACGAGGAGGAGGAGGGGGAGGAGGACCAAGACGACCTCGACGCCGACCACCGCCAAGAGGTCGTGGGGCCCGCGGCCTAAAACCGCGGACGCCTGAGCGCCCCACCCCGTGGTGGAGGCAAAAAACCTGTGGAGGATCGAGGTCCGGGGTGCGCCTCTCCACTCCTCCTCCTCCTCCTCCTCCTCCTCCGCCTCCTCCTCCGCCCTCCTCCTCCTCCTGCTCCTCCTCCTCCTCCTCCTCCAACTTTTCCTCCTACTCGCTCTCCTCCTCCTCCTCCTCCGCCTCCTCCGCCTCCTCCTCCTCCTTTGACAAATCAGTTTCTCAACAGGGTGATTGGCAGATCCCTATCGAAGGCGAATAAGAGTTTCCAGCAGTGGGTGATTCGCAGGTGGAAGACTACACCAGGAGTAATCCACAGGTATACGCGAGGTGTGCTTGACAAGCCCGACGAGATCATTGGCACGGGCCGCGTTTTCGCCTCACCCACGGAGATGATGGACCACCGAGCGGACAAGTAGCAGAAGATATGGAGCAGCGACAACTTCAATGCCGACAAAATAGACTACGGGCTGCGATACGTGCGGCAGAGGGCCTTGCAGCAGGACCGCGAGCTGATCACGACAGAGCAGATCTACGAGGCGACTGCCAGCATGAGTGCGAAGAAATCGAAGGGCACAGACGTAATGGGGCCAGTGGAGGTTCAGCGACTACCACGAGCAGGCGTTCAACAATTGGGGCGTTTGCTCAATGAGATAGAGGAGAGAGGTATGTGGCCCCCGCAGGTCAACCTCGTCATCGGTGCGATCGCCCCAAAGCCAAGAGGAGGAGATAGAGTATTGGGACTGTTACCGTTTTTGGTCAAGCTCTGGGCGAAGATACGTAGCTCGGCAACTCTGCAATGGACCTCCGAGGCGGACGAGCACTGGGACACAGCGGTCCGCGGGTCCTCAGCTTTGCAAGCTGCGTTGGTCCGAACGCTCTTAGACGAATCAGCACGGGAGCTTCACATTTCATCAGCGACCGTGTTATTGGACATAGAGAAATTATACGACAGTCTAGACATCACAAAGTTGTGCGCTGCTGCTCTCACGCAAGGGTTCCCTGCCATGGTCTTGCTTCTGGAGCTTCAGATCTGCCTGGCGCCTAGAGTGTTGAAAGATCGCAGTTGGGTGTCTCACAGAATCCAGGCGCAGCGTGGCATCGTGGCTGGTTCTCTCAATGGAGGTCGAATGGCAAAGGCGTTCCTAGGGCCAATCATGGAGAAGGCTCATCAGCAGAACGGCATGCAGATTCTTCTCAGAACGTTTGTAGACGACACGGTAATCCGAGTAGAATGTACGGCGAAGCAAACAACTTCCACGACGATTGCAGCAGCCGCAACAGTATGTGAACAGCTACAGCAAGCTGGGTTAGTTATCAGTGATAAGACGACAGTGGCCGCTTCTGACAATGGGAGTTTGAGTGAGGTAATGACTGGTTTACGACGACGAGGTGTTCCAGTCACTCCTGCACTGGAGGCGGTGGATCTGGACATGGACACCAGCGCAGGGCGTCGTCGGACTTGCAGCAAAGCTACTCAAGATTTCGTAATAAAGGGAGGGGGGGTCTCATTTCGGGGGGGGGGGGTCTCTTCCAGGCCATCTTGGAGGGCCTGGGGGGGTCTGGGGACGATGTGTTGGAGGGTTCTCCCACGGGGGAGGTCTGAAATGGCTCGTCTTGGAGGGTCCAGACCCCCTCCCTTGTATTACGAAATCTGGAGCAATGAAAGAAGAAAGAAAGCAGCCAAGCGAACCTGGGCGATCAAGAGTATCAGAAGCCACGCCAAGCTACGAGGCATTACGACGGCTCTATGGACTGCGGGCTCACGACCACAGGGGACATACGCGCATCAAGCGTTCGGGGTGTCTGGACACGTTATGACAGAGCTGAGAAGACAAGCGGCGCAGTGTTCAGTAGGAGCAGGACCTGGACGGTGCTTGACGACGTCGTTGGCGATGGTTTACGGCAATAAGGATCCAGCTAAGTCGTTGAGGCTCGAGCACATTCACATGTGGCTAAATATGTGGCGCGAATACCCTGAACTGTATGCGCGTGTGGCGACGGCGTGGATCAGCATCCGCAGGCGGCTATTACTGGCAGGTTCACGCAGATGGCGACTTGTGAGGGGCCCGATTGGTGCTACGATTGCAACCTTGATGGACATAGGCTGGGCCCCACATTCACCAATGCAATGGGATTCAGCAGCAGTAACATGGACGATTCCTTCGTGCGCAGACAGTGCGTACGATCATTTTCACAGCGACTTCACGGACATCTTGAAAGACATAGAGGACACACTCGATAGACAACTATGGAGTATGGCTTCGAGGCATGAGAACGGCAGTGACCTGTGCGACGGTGCGGACACGTACCAGGTGTCCAGGGAGCTGCGCAGGCTCAGGGATGACGACGGCTCCGACGACTGAGCGCTGAACGTGGTCGTTACGACTGGGGGCCAGTGGACTCGTGAGAGGTTGTATCAGGCGGGGTCTGCCCGAGGTGTCAACAGGCGCCTGAGAGTTTGTTTCACCGAATCTGGGAATGCGAGGCCAACGATGGCCAACCTGATTTCACGAAATCTGATGCGTTGGTTCCCCAGGCGAGAGCGAATCACGAGAGTTCGCCAAGTTTTTGGTTCCGAAGGATCCCTGGTCGGGCAAAGACGGCCCCAACCTTTTATGAGGGGCCTCCCCTTGTGTTTCGATACGGCTCGATTCAGGACATCCCCAGAGACGCCGAAGGTTTCGCTACCGCGTTCGGGGACGGTTCGGGTGGGAGGTTCTCTGATGACCCTCGGCGTCGACGGGTGGGTTCTGGAGTAGTAGCGCTGGCCCCAGATGGCCAGGTCTGGAAGTCGGTCGGGGGTTTCAGCGTCACCCTCCCTGGGAAGCGCCAGAGTGTTCCTCGCGCGGAGATCACCGCGTTCGCGATTGCGGTCGAGGAAATCCCAGGCCGACTGTGTTCCGTGACCGATCATCAGCCCTTGTTGAAGTCTTGGGCCAAAGGTCGTACGTTCGGTTTTGAGGCCCTGGAGAGGGGGTGTAATGCAGACCTTTGGGCCAGGATAGCCACAGCGCTTCGAGCCAGAGCGCCCGAGGACGTAGTACTCAAATGGGTGGCCTCCCACCAAGAGGAGGTCACACGCCACGGTGATCAGTCGTTCCTGTCCTTCGGCAACGAATGTGCCGATGC